GTGTGGCGGATGAAATAGGAGGTGTGTGGAGTGGGGAGGAGGGGCGTGGCGGGTGGTGAGGGGGCGTGGCAGGTGAGTGGAGGAGGGCGTGGCCGGGTAGTGGAGGGAGGGCGTGGCGGTGGTAGTGGAGGAGGGCGTGTGGGGAAGTGGAGGGAGGGTGGGGGTGGTGGAGGAGGGGGCGTGGCGGGTGGTGGAGGAGGGGGCGTGTGGAGTGGAAGAGGGGGGCTGTGTGGGTGGTGGAGGGAGGGGCATGTGGGTGGTGTGGGGAGGCGTGGGTGGGGAGTGGAGGGGGCGTGGCTGGAGTGAGTGGAGGAGGGGCGTGTGGAGTAGTGGAGTGGAGGGCGTGTTTATGTCTCTAATATGTTATGGCTGCCACTGAGGTCAGTCAGTATCCTTCGGTCCATAGTTTATTTATAAAATGAAGTGATAAATAAATAAATAAATAAATAAATAAATAAAATTAATAAATAAATAAGTTAAAAATAAAAGAGAGCTTGAAGGTTTGTGTGGTTGTTGCGTTAGAACGTATTGTCAAAGTTGAGGATGGAGCATGTCGTATGATAAAGGGGGGGTGTGTGTATAATGAAATATTTGTTAATAAGGGGGGTGAGTGTGGGAGAGTGTTTCATGTGGGGTAGGGTGTGGGCTGGTACTAGTAGGGGGTAGGGTGTGGGCTGGTGCCTATTAAGGGGGGTGAGTGTGGGCATGGCTAGTAAAGGGGGTAAAGGTATGGGCTGGTTTAGTAAATGAGGGTGCAAGGTATGGGCGGTGCTAGTAAAGGGGGTGTGGGTGTGGGCTTGCTAGTAAAGGGGTGAAGGTGTGGGCTGGGTACTAGTAAAAGGTAGGTATGGGCTGGTGCCTAGTAAAGGGGTAAGGTATGGGCTGGTATAGTAAAGGTAAGTTATGTACTAGTAAAGGGGTAAGGTATGGGTGCTAGTAAAGGGGTGGTGTGGGCTAGTGCTAGTGGGGATAGGGTATGGGCTGGTAGTGAGGGGTGGGTGTATGGGCTAGATTGCTAAGTGGGGAGTGGGGTGTGGAGCTTGTGCTGAGTGGGGGGTGGTGTGGGCTGGTGTACAGTGGGGGGGTGGGGTGTGTGTTGCTAGTGGGGTGGGGTGGGCTTGTGCTGGTGGGGAGTGGGGTGTGGGTTGGTGAGTGGGGTGGGGTGTGGGCTGGTGCTAGTGGGGGGTGGGGTGTGGGCTGTGGTGCTAGTGGGGGGTGGGTGTGTGGGCTGGTGCTGGTGGGGGGTGGGGTGTGGGTGTGGTGCTGGTGGGGGGTGGGGTGTGGGCTGATTTACTAGTAAAGGGAGTAAGGTATGGATGCGTACTAGTAAAGGGGGTAAGTGTGGGCTGGTACTAGTAAAGGGGTAAGGTATGGGCTGACTATAAAGGGTAAAAGGTGTGGTTTGCTGGTAAAGGGGTAAGGTGTGAAAAAATTGCTAGTAAAGGGGTAAAGGTATGGGCTGAGTAGTAGTAAAGGGTTAAAATGTATGAAGCTTAAAATGCACTAGTAAGGGGGGTAAGGTATGGGCTGAAGTACTAATAAGAGGTAAGAGGTATGGGCTGCAGTACTAGTAAAAGGTAAAACATGAGGCAAGTTTGTAAAGAGTTAAGGTGTAGGCATGCTAATAAAAATAAAGTATGGTAGTACTAGTAAAGGTAAGGTATGGGCTGTGTACTAGTAAAAAGGTAAATATAGTAAAAAGTTAGTGTAGGCTTACTTACGGTTGAGATAATGTATTCATAAAAATAAGATTACCCTTTAAAATAAGACAGATATCGTAAACAAATCATATATTCTCTTAATAACAACAAAAAAATATAAGGACAACACAGGTAAGACGACTAAATCAATTCTAAAAGAAAATCACTGGTTTTCTTGCAAGACATGGTGTAAAGAACGTCCTTTGAACCATTAGTAAAGTGATACAGAGTTCTCAGCTTTAGCAAAAGAGGGTTTTATATTTTACCTGGACAACAAGGTGTGATTATGGTAATTTAGATCGTGTGAGGTAGCTTGGGGTCAGAGGTGCAGGTGTTGAATTTGTCATAAGCTGAGAGAGATGCTGCGTGTGTGATGACTTATGCATCCTGCCAGACAGGCTCATACATACATACTGTATACATACATGCAATAATAATGGTTTGCCCCTGTGTAATGAGGATGGCCGGCCCAAGGGCCACCTAGGCGTGAATTTGTTAAGGTGTAGAAGCTGTCGCCAACACAACAACCACACCCTGAGTTAACGAGTTGCGTGACCCAGTGTCAAGGAATAGTCCGGGAAGACCGGACAACTATCCAACTGCACTGGCTAACGATTACCCCGGAACACGATCCGCAAACCAATTAACGTCCAGGACCCCAATTACTGCTGGGTAGACAGAGGCAAATGGCGTAAAGAAACTTGTCCATAGTTTTACGCTGCTCGGGGATCGAACCAGGTCAGTTTGCTTGTCAGGCGAGCATGCTGACCATTACACCACAAATCGCCACACATACATGCACCTGTACATACATACAAACATACTGTACATACATAAATACAGTACATACATACATACATACATACATACCCCAATTATTATTGACGTAAACCTCTACAGTTAACTACAGAGTTCAAACAAAGTTGACAACACAACAATATAATTAATCTGTCTCCATCAACTTCCATCCCATTTCTCTCTCTCCTCTTCCTTCCTCGTTCTCTTCCTACCCCATCCTCCTCTTTTATATTCCTCTCCCCCTTCCCTCAACACTATATCAGTTCTGATTAACAAGTAAATACCCATAGAAGGTGTTGGCGGGGAGGAGGGCAGTTGAGAGTAGCTGAGGGCGATGGAGGGCAGGTGAGGCGATGGAGGGTGCAGCTGAGGCCAGTAGGAGGTGGCTGAGGCAGTGGGAGGTGGTTGGGGGCGGTAGAAGGTGGCTGAGGGTAGCTGAGGCAGTGGGGTGGCTGGGGGTGGCTGAAGGCGGTGAGGAGGTGGCTGAGGGGAGTGGCTAGGCGGTGGGGAGGTGTTGAGGGTGGCTGAGGGGGCGGTGGGGGTGGTGTGGGGTGGCTGGGCGGTGGGGGTGGCTGGGGGGTGGCTGGGGGCTGGGTGGGGGGTGGCTGGGGGTGGCTGGGGCAGTGGGGGTGGTGGGGGGTGGCTGGGGGCGGTAGAGGTGGCTGGGGGTGGCTGGGGGGGTGGGGGGTGGGCTGGGGGGTGGCTGGGGGTGTTCAGAGGTGGTGTGAGGGGGGTGGCTGGGGGGCGGTGGGGGTGGCTGGGGGTGGTGGGGCAGTGGGGGGTGGTGGGGGTGGCTGGGGGGCGGTGGGGTTGGCTGGGGTGTGGGGCGGTGGGGGGTGTGGTATCTGAGGGCAGTGAGGAGGTGGCTGAGGGGTGGCTAGGGGCGGTGAGGTGGTGAAGGGTTGGCTTAGGGGCAGTGGGATGGGTGGCTGAGGGGCAGTGGGGGTGGTGGGGGGTGGCTGAGGGGGCGGTGGGGGGTGGCTGAGGGGTGGCTGGGGGCGTGGGGTGGCTGGGGGTGGTGGGGCGGTAGAGACGGCTGTGGGGGTGTGGGGGGCGGTGCTCTGGGCTGGCTGAGGTTGCTGGGGGCGGTGAAGGCTTGGCTGAGGGGGTGGCTGAGGGGCGGCTGGTGTTGGGTGGGGCCCTCTGCTGTGCATGGGTTTGGGGAGGTAAGCGTGACCTGGGAGAGAGAGGGAATAACTAATGAAAGAGGGCAGAATAAATAAATAATATAAAGAGGAATAAAACAAAAGGGCTATAATTGTCTTTGTCTCATGACAATCAATAAGGTAGGGAGGGATGAAGGAGGATCAAGGCCTCATTGAGGGGAGGGAGGAGAGAGAGAAGAGTGGTAAATGAGGGAAGAAAGGAGGAAAATTATAGTCACTTGGTAAAGAGAATATTTGTTTCAATTCATACTATAAGTCTCTTTTTTGTTTATTTAGCTCTCTCTGGAAAGAGAGTTGAGGCAAAAACTAGAATCCTATTTGAAAGATTTCACAGAGATGCCCTCATGAGGTTCAACTTCTTTGAGATGGTTTTTGGGTGCGTCAGTATGTGTAAATGTGTGTGTGTGTGTGTGTGTGTCTGTGTGTGTGTCTGTGTGTGTCTGTGTGTGTGTCAGTTGTGTGGTAGTAAATGTGTATCTAGGGATATCAATACAAATATATGTGTTCAGTCGAGGTTTGGGATCAGAGTTATCAGATATCACATCCACATTCTTCACACATAAAAGAGATGAGACAGAGACAGAGATGGAGAGACAAGGACAGAGAGCAGGCAGATGGATCTTCAAAAATGCCCAACACAACACTGGTGTCTCCTCCTCCCTCAAGACAGAATGTGGACTCATTATGAGAACCAGGAGAGATGTTTATGGAAGATCCTTGATACAATTTTGGCTCCTTATATTTTGAAAAGACACAGCAGGTAAAATATAGTGATGATGATGATGATAATGATGAGGAGGAGGATAATGAGGAGAGTGGAGAGATAATGAGGAAGTGTAGAGGATAATGAGGAGGTGGAGGGGAAGAGGTGGGGGAGGATGATGATGATGATGATGATGATGATGATGATGAGGTGGTGATGATGATGATGGTGTATGATGATGTTGATGATGATGATGATGGTGGTGAGGTGGGATGGATGATGATGATGATGATGATGATGATGATGTTGATGGGATGAGTGGTGATGATGATGATGATGATGGTGGTGATGATGGTGATGTTGGTGATGTGATGATGATGATGTTGATGATGGTGTTGATGGATGTTGAGTGATGAGTGGGTGGATGATGATGATGATGATGGTGATGTTGGTGGTGGGATATGTGATGATGATGATGATGATGATGTTGATGATGATGATGGTGGGATGATGATGATGATGATGATGTTGATGATGATGGATGTTGATGGATGATGATGATGATGATGATGATGGTGTTGATGATGATGAGGTGGATGATGATGATGATGATGATGATGTTGATGATGTTGATGATGATGAGGTTGAGTGATGATGATGTTGATGATGTTGATGATGATGATGTTGATGATGATGGTGATGATGATGATGATGTTGTTGTTGGGGAGGTGGAGGATAATGATGATGATGATGATGATGATGATGTTGATGATGAGGAGGTGGAGGATAGTGATGATGATGATGATGGTGAAGTGGTGATGATGAGGGAGGTGGAGGAGATAATGATGATGAGTAGTGATGATGATGTTGATGATGAGGAGGTGGAGATAATGATGATGATGATGTTGATGATGAGGTGGAGATAATGATGATGATGATGTTGATGATGAGGAGGTGGAGGATAATGATGATGATGATGATGTGATGAGGGTGGAGGATAATAATGATGATGATGAGGGAGGAGGAGGATAATGATGATGATTGATGATGATGTTGATGATGAGGAGGTGGAGGATAATAATGATGATGAGGGAGGAGGATAATGATGATGATGATGATGATGTTGATGATGAGGAGGTGGAGGATAATATGTGTTGATGATGAGGAGGAGGATAATGATGATAGTCATTAGGTAGTGAGTGATGATGATGATGAGGAGGATAATGATGATGATGATGATGATGAGGGTGGAGGATAATAATGATGATGGGGAGGAGGGAGAATGTGGTGTTGGTAGTGATGATGATGATCAGCCCAGTAGTGAAAGTGGAGGATAATAATAGTGATGATGAGGAGGATAATGATAATAGTAGTGATGAGTAGTGATGATGAATTGGAGGGATAATGATGAAGTGATGAAGTGATGATGATGATGATGATGAGGGAGAGTGGAGGGATAATAATGTTGATGATGGGGAGGAGGAGAATAATGATGATGATGAAGTGATGATGATGATGATGATGATGATGATGTTGATGATGAGAGGTGGAGGATAATGATGATGATGATGATGATGATGATGATGAGGAGGGAGGAGGTGGGGATAATGATGATGATGATGATGATGATGATGTTGATGATGAGGAGGTGGAGGATGATGATGATGATGATGATGATGATGAGGTGGAGGATAATGATGATGATGATGATGGTGATGATGATGATGATGAGGGAGGAGGGAGGAGGAGGTGGAGGATATGATATATTTCTA